TGATGAGGAAACTGAGGCAAGCAGGGTTAAGTGACTTGCCCAGGGTCACACAGCTAGTAAGTATCTGAGGCAGGATTCTAACTTAGGTTCTCCTGATTCTAGGTCCAGCATTCTATCCTCAATGCTATGTAACTGCCCTCCAAATGAGATTAGATAACATTAATTTATATTAGACTCTGAGTTTTGGGATTACTCCAACTTGGTTCAACAGCATGCTATATGAACAGGAGGTATGAAGTAGGAGGTAGTTGGGGCTTGAGAAGGAGAAATTGAGGATAAGACTAGTGAAGGGTAGAATGTAGTAAAGTTAGTTGAGTTGATTCACAAGACATTGGTAGAAAAGGGAGAATATTGTAGCCATTGCAATGTTGGTGGCCTAGTAAAGAGCTATGAAGAGGAGGGAGTGGAGGTCCTGATGAGAATAGTTGGGTTGCAGGGGTGGAGAAACTGTGGCCTTCTAGGTCCTTGGGTGCTTCCTTTTGACTGAGTCCAAGTTTTATAGAAAAATCCTTTTTTTAAGGGGATTTGCTGTATGAAGTTTGGATTCAGTCAAGGGACCACATTTGAGGACATAGAGGGCCATATGTGGCCTCGAGATTGCAGGTTCCCCACCCCTGGTTAAGGGAAAGATGAAGTTCATAAGCAATAATGATCAGGTAAAGGAATTTTGGAATTTATGAACACAGCATTTGAACATTTTTGGCTGAAGGTCAAGGTTATGACTGTGTAGCTGTGATGTTTAAAAAGGTTTCAGATACATAATTTCTGGGTAATTAATCTTTTTATTAAGAATACCAACATTTTAATGAAAGGATGGTCATTTGGCCATTTCTCTCTTAGACCAAAGAGCCCTTTTGGCAGTGGACTCATAGTATATTTGCCATTGGAGCAGCAAGATGTTCCTGAGGGTGGCAGTCAAATCTGATTGGTTAACAATCAGTGGGGAAATGAATATTACAATGAGAGGCTGGGCTGTAATACAATGAGGATATGAGAATGTGTGACTTGGATCACCTAAATCTTGGTCAAAGAGACTTATCAATTTCATATTACCTGTCTGACAAAAAGGAGGATCCGTATTTTCCCAGATCTGTCTGAGCAAACACAGTGAGCAGGAATTCACCCATTAGCTCAAACTTAGAATTTCTTTTACTGTCTTTGATTAGATCTCAGCCATCCTGCTTGGGTAAGTCTTTTAGAAAGATTTCCCACACTGGTTGTTTTCTGAGTGAGGAAATAGAAAAGGAGGAAAACCTTGATCTCAATACAATAATCACTTTTTATTACAAGAGAGAAATAATAATTTCTCTCATAGTTTAGGTATAGTGGAGGAGTAGGTCATGGGAGTTGAACAGATTAAGAAACTGGGAAGTGAGGGTATTACTCGTATGCAGCAAAGGGAGAGTCTGAAAGTGCCAGTGAGTAACAAGTATTTTGATTCCTTTTCTGAGACCATTATGTGTGTGGGGAGGGGGAGGGTGGGAGGGGGGTGGCAGGAAGGGGGTGGTGTGAGATGAGAGAAGATATAGCTAATGGGGGACATAATAGCTAATATATATTTTTGGAGTAAAAAAAAAATCTCTGTGACTGCGAGTAGGAAGATGTAATACAAGAAGAGATTTCCAAAATGAAGAAAGGTTGTTAATTCTTGAATCGAGGTTACAATAGAAAATTTCAGCAGAGTTAGAATAAGATGTCAGAGAGGTAGGTTTGAGGAAGATTAGCATGAGTGGGGAAAAACGGAGATGGCGGAATGGGAGTAATTGACTTCTGGTTGCCTGGCTATTTAGTAATACTGATAGGGGACACTATTCGTGTCAGTTTGTTAGCCATAGGGATAGCAATTGATGGGAGAAAGGGTGAAGGGTCAAGATTAATTAGAATGCCAATAGTCTTAGCAGCATTGTCTGTGGGACATTGTGGTCAAGGCAGTGGGGAAATAACTCATGTGGTGGTGAGGTTGTGGGCAAGGAGGCGGTGATATCTGTTGAGCTTGGCTGTCTCCTCCTTTGGAATAGAAGCAGGGTGGTTGTTATTGACAAGTCCAGATGGAAATTATCATAACATGAAATTATCACAGAGATATACCCAGTAGTAAATTTGCCCCCTCTTATATGGAAGGGATAATGGAAATAAGTTAAGATGGTTCTGTTCAGATAGGCAGTACCAGGCTTTTTCTGGTCCTAGTTTCATCATTGATTTCTTTCTCAGTTTTGGTCCTCTCTTTTGTATGGGCTTTAGAGCAAAAGAAGCCCCAACAAAAGATAACACAGCCATATATGATCATTACATTTATCACCTTGTTCACCTCCATTTAGGTGAATCAGGCCTAAAAATTGTGATTATCGCTGCTATACCATACCTCTCAGCTTCCAACTGTTCTTCTTGCCCATGTGATTTAACCCTACGGCTTCTCTGCTTACTTCCATGCTATCCTCCTATCCAGCATAGGCTTGGTTCTCACATACTTTAGCCATGTTTCTATCGTTTGGTGCCCCTGAATAGTGCCACGGAAATACTGGAACCATTTGCTTCCAATTACTTCGTCTTTTCCTTGGGACCAGGTGTTGCATAGGAAGCCTCCCCAACATGTTACAGCTGTGTTCCTATTGGCCTTCTACCTGACTTCCCAATATTGTCATACCTTGGTCTCTTTCCTGAAGTATTAACTCCAGGAAAGGAATTAATGATTTAAACCAAGACTCCTACAATTTCCTTATTAGGATATGATTCTAGGAAAGATAGTAACTATTAGACTCAGGAGTTGGGGGTGGGAGGAGGTCGTACAAAACTTGGGGAGGCTTGAAATTTCATGAGGTCCTGAATTTTGATCTTTGGTTTGGAATAGCTAAATTAAGCAAAGCCTATAATTCATTTGGTTTGAGGAAAATCCTAAGGTAGCTGAAGGAAGAAGAGGAGGGAGGTTTAACTGAGGGCATGGGATTTTTTTGTATTTGACATTTTCTTTTGTAAACATTTTCAGATTATGTCTACTTTGAAAATTCTTCAAGTAACCCATACTTGATAAGAAGAATAGAGGAACTCAATAAGGTAATGTGGTACTAATTTGTTTTGTCCAGGGATTTTAGGCTTATTATGATTATTAATAATAATTGATATTTATATAGTGCTTTAAAATTTGTAAAATATTTAACATACATCAACTTATTTGAGCATTACGTGGCATCCTCATTTTACAAATAAGGAAACTAACTCCCTGAGGTTGAATATCAAACCCTGGTCTTCTTGACTCTTAAGTCTAGCATTCTGCCCACTGTTCCATGCTGCTTATAAATTACCTCTGAGATTCTGGAAAATGGACAAGTTGATGACACCAACATATCATGACCTAGGTTGACACTGCCCATAAACCCTCGGATTTACGAAAACTTACATCAGCTTTGCTTAATTCTTAATCCATAGTCTTTGTTTATTTAATACAAACCCATAATCCATCTACTTTGCCTTTTTTCAGTACATCTTGTAACTTGACCTTACTGAGGACATCTTATTCTCCCTTCATTTACTTATATTTCATTTCCTTGTATAGTGCTTTCCTCCCAATCCTCCCTAATCTGACTATAGTTCTCCCTTGTAGGGAATGTACTATTATTTGTTTTGTAGTCTCATATGCTTTGAGCAACCTTGCTTTTATTGGATCTTTTTATTGTTCCCAGCATAGGTCTTCTTATTTTTCTCTACATTATTTGTTAGTTTTTTGTTTTTTTTGAGCTTTAACACTCCTGACTCAGTTCCTTGACATATAAATGTAATCTACCATGATATCTGATGGTAATAAAATACCATTATTGAAAAAATATATATGGTATCTGTCCAACACTTCTTTATAGTTTCCTGTCTTGGCTTTTTCTAACCTAGAATGTTCTTTTATCATCTTTACTTATATCTGTGAAACCCCAACCTACTATAATTTCAGCTTCCTCTGAATCCTGCCTTACTTCTATGCTGCTTACTGTACATAACATTTTTACACTGTATTTTTAATTTGGTCATTTTATATGTATGCTTATAGATATGCATCTTATTTTCTCAACGAAATTGCAAATCCTTGAAGATCTGAACTGCTTTAGACATCTTCTAGGTGCCAGCCTCAAAATCAAGCATTCTGTAAATACTAAGGATTAGTTAATTGATAGTAATTGTTTATTTGGTTATTTAAGCAAATCCTCTTCTCTTTCTTCCTTACTCACAAGGCTTACTCTGATATTAATGTATTTGTCAATAAATATTGAGCACCTATTGCATCTTTAGCATTGAGGATAAAATGTTCACTGCTGTTTAGCATCATAGATAATTGGAGATATAAGACTCACATATAAGAAATAATGGAAAGAACAATGGTCAAAGATGAAGATTTGGGTTGTATTCTCAGATTGGCTGCTTAATCATTGTGATCTTGAACAAGTAAACCACTTCACCTATCTGTAAGTTGAGGTCTGTAAGATGAGGGATGTTGGGATTAAAAGTTGACTGTGACTAGAGGTTTCTGTCAAAAAAGTTCTGTGTAAACTTGAAAGTTTATTTAAATATAAAATTTTAATTTTTGTCATTATTCCTACTCTATTTCTGTTTTAAATACTGAGGCCATAAGGCAGTGGATAGAGTAGCTCAGTGGATAGAGTGCTAGGCCTGGAGTCAGAAAGGCCTGGTTTCAGATCCATCTTCAGACATTTCCTAGCTGTGTGACCCTAGGCAAGTCACTTAACCTCTGTTTGCCTTAATCCACTGGAGAAGGAAATTGCAAACCATTCCAGTATCTTTGCCAAGAAAAACCCTTGGACAGTATGGTCCGTGGGGTCACAAAGAGTAGGATGTGGCAGAATGACTAACAACAACAGTGAGGCCATATCAGATTTTGTGTCATAATGCTTAAGTTCCAATAGTAATTCAGAGCAGATCACAAAGTAATTTATGCAGCTTCATGGGGTGATTGAAGTTGACTGGAATGTTAAGGGTGGGCAAGATCTGAAGGGAAAGGAGAGAGAAGGAGAAGGTCTTATAGGAGAAGGCACTGTATTGAACTAGGGATAGTAGACATAGATTTTGAGCTAAATTAGAAAATTCCTGTTCAAGAGTAAGGGGAGATTATTAGAGAGTTCAAGGGGGTTAGTAGAAGCCCTTCAAATCTGTCCAGAAGAGTTAAATTTGATATGAATAATAACAAATTTGCAAAATAGTAATGCTCTCCACTCAATTGACCCTAGTTGGTCCACGAAGCCTTCATAGAGGGGAACAAACCTGATGGAGAATGAGCCCGCTGTCCTGCCGCCAGTGCTTGCCCCTGTATATATGCCTCTGACAAGGGGTGTAAGCAAGAGCCCTGGCAGTAGCGGCCACCCTTTAGACCTCTGGTCCTGTTTTCATCTGAGGTCTCACAGCTGTCCGCTAGGGAAACAGTATATGAGACTGGGCAGCTACCTCTTCAGATGCTTAGCAGCTATGATTACTGAATACCCAGAAAATAAAGTTCTCAACACTAAAATCTTTGGCACTATCATATGATTCAACTTTAGAAATGAATGTGGTTTTTATCAATGGCAATGGCATTCTTCTTGTTTTAAATTTATTTTAAACATAAATACAAACAAGAAAAGAAAAAAAAAATTGCTGTGTATATATAGCAGAATGTGAGAGGATTCAGTATAAAACAATAAATTTCCATTTCAAGGATACCTATGTACTACTACAATAGTACGTATTGTTTCCAAACCTGTGCAGCTTTTCTTTGCTTCCTTGTAGGTTTTCTTTTGTTCTTTCCTGTGCACTTTCACTTTATTTTTCTCCCTTCCTTCCCCCCTACCCCTCACCACAAAGAAGGCTGCAGTTAAGCTCACGTTTACACACACACACACACACACACACACACCTATAATTATATACATATACACTCATACACAGATATGTAAGACCATGCTATGCTTATTTCCACTTGTCATCTGTTTCTCTGAAGGTGGATAACATCTTCCTTCA